AACGCCCAGACATTTGCCCGGTCAATGGAAGCCGAACTTCATGTACAATAGGGGTGTCACTTCCACTATTATACACAACAGCTTTCTGCTGTCAATGGTTGTTAAGGATGCAAGGGGGTGCAGGCATCAACGAGTCCCTAACAACCGGTGACACCACCTGGCCCGATCCACTTATATGGGCGGAAATCCCCAGACATGTACGCAAATGAGCCAGGGATAGTTAAAAGAAATGAGAAGGCGCACGTTTGTCCCCCCTCCCCCTTTTCTGGCCAGCCAGGCTGCATGCGGATGAGGGTCTGGTATAGTTTTTTGGGGAGGACCACATGCTTTTTTCTAGATTTTTGTACAGAATCTTCCCTTTAATCCATACCAGACCTTAAAAGTCTCCTATGAAATTTGGGGTTGGGGGGGTTGGACCCCACTCCATTTTTTTTTGTTTTGCTTGAGGTCCCCTGTAAAATTCATAATAGTCCTGAAGAGCAAGGTATGATTTATGGCAGAAATTCTCACCACTGTTTTTTAAAAAATGTTTTGGATCCACCACTAACATTTATAGCCGACCTTCATCTAGGACATTAGTTTCCAAACTGCGGCCCCGGGGGCCAGGTGAGGCTGTTTTTTTTGCCTTTATCCAGTCCTTAGGATACTATTCCTCCCATTGACACCAATGATGGGGCACTATTCCTCTCAATGACACCAATGATGGAGCACTATTCCTCCCACTGACACCAATGATGGGGCACTATTCCTCTCAATGACACCACCAATGATGGAGCACTATTCCTCCCACTGACACCAATGATGGGGCACTATTCCTCCCACTGACACCAATGATGGGGCACTGTTCCTCCCACTGATACCAATGATGGGGCACTATTCCTCCCACTGACACCAATGATGGGGCACTATTCCTCCCACTGACACCGATGATGGGGCACTATTCCTCCCACTGACACAAATGATGGAGCACTATTCCTCCCACTGATACCAATGATGGGGCACTATTCCTCCCACTGACACCAATGATGGGGGCACTATTCCTCCCACTGACACCAATGATGGGGCACTATTCCACTATTCCTCCCAATGACACCAATGATGGGGTACTATTCCTCCCACTGACACCAATGATGGGGCACTATTCCACTATTCCTCCCAATGACACCAATGATGGGGTACTATTCCTCCCAATGACACAAACGACGGGGCACTGTTCCTCCCACTGACAAAAATGATGGGGCATTATTCCTCCCAATGACACAAACGATGGGGAACAAATTCTCCCAATGATACAAATGAAGGGGCACTATTCCTCCCACTGACACCAATGATGGGGCACTATTCCTCCCACTGACACCAATGATGGGGTACTATTCCTACCACTGACACCAATGATGGGGCACTATTCCTCCCACTGACCCAATGATGGGGCACTATTCCTCCCACTGACACCAATGATGGGGCACTATTCCTCCCACTGATACCAATGAGGGGGCACTATTCCTCCCACTGACACCAATGATGGGGCACTATTCCTCCCACTGACACTAATGATGGGGCACTATTCCTTCCACTGACACCAATGATGGGGCACTATTCCTCCACACAGACCAATGATGGGACACTATTCCTCCCATTGACACCAATGACGGGGCACTATTCCTCCCACTGACACTAATGATGGGGCACTATTCCTCCCACTGACACCAATGATGGGGCACTATTCCTCCCACTGACACCAATGATGGGGGCACTATTCCCCCCACTGACACCAATGATGGGGCACAATTCCGCTTACTCACACCAGTGATGGGGCAATATTCCTCCTGCTGAAAGCAATGGTGGGGCATTGTTCCTTCCACTGACACCAATGATGGGGCACTAATCCTCCCACTGTCACCAATGATGGGGCACTAATCCTCCCACTGTCACCAATGATGGGGCACTAATCCTCCCACTGACACCAATGATGGGGCAGTATTCCTCCCACTGACACCAATGATGGGGCATTTTTTAGTTACACTCAGGACATTATCTACGCCTACTGGTCAAAGTCCAGCCCCTCTAACATCTGAAGGGCAAGAAACTGGCCCTTTCTGTATAACATTTGGAGACCCTTGTTCTAGGATAAGAGTCTGGTATAGATGGAAGGAATCCCCTTTACAAACAGAAGGAAATGTCCAGGAACTGCCTCCCCAGAGGACATATTAGGGTCTTTAGGAGGAAAAATGCGATGCTGTGACTCTTTATTGCTGCTCGAAGCTTTTTCCTATTTGTATTTATATATTTTTGTACATTTGTCTGTCAGGCCTCGCAGTGTTACTTTATTGATCTAACAATGGAAGCTTCCAATGCACCATATAAATCAACTGCCACTTTGCAGCAGCTGGCGAATGTGAACATTTTCCCCATTGAAAGGACGAAGAGGAATTTGTTAGACCTCGTGTCACCCTTCCCGTTGATATCCAGCGTGTCACTGATGTATTGCCTGCGGCCTTCCCTGATGATCGCTATCAAAGTTCTCTGTGAACAACCTTTTGACTTGATAAGGAATTAGTCGGCTCCATTCCATCAGACGGGCCTTTGCCTTCCTTCTTTTAAGCAGCGATTTCCTTCTGTCGCTTTGATCTCTGCGCAAGAAAATTAGTTCCTTCGGACTTTATAGTTAAGAGCTTTATTTTCTATTAATCTTCAATTCTCACTGGTTTCCAGAGAAAAGTCAGCTTTTTGATAACTGACACTTTGTAAAGATATAACAAAGACAGATGATACAACATCGCCAAAAGGGATGAGGAGAACAGAGATATCTCATTCCAAATATTAATACATTCGCAGTTTTAGTAGAACTGTTAGGACCAACTTTGCAGGAAGCCGTCATCCTTTAAAGTGACCGTCAGCATGAAATAATCCCCAGATTTAAGTTCACTGAAGTAAAAGATGATTCCCTTCTCCTGCTTCCTGTGTCTCCTAAATTCCCTGTAATAGAGTACCCCCCTCTCCGGTGTCTATTCCTACCTTCTCCTGCGGTGTCCCGTGTCTCCTACCTCCCCTCCATTCCCTGTAATAGAGGTATTATACCCCCCCTCTCCGGTGGTGTCCCGTGTCTCCTACCTCCCCTCCATTCCCTGTAATAGAGGTATTATACCCCCCTCTCTCCGGTGTCCCGTGTCTCCTACCTCCCCTCCATTCCCTGTAATAGAAGAGGTATTATACCCCCCTCTCTCCGGTGTCCCGTGTCTCCTACCTCCCCTCCATTCCCTGTAATAGAAGAGGTATTATACCCCCCTCTCCGGTGTCCCGTGTCTCCTACCTCCCCTCCATTCCCTGTAATAGAAGAGGTATTATACCCCCCTCTCCGGTGTCCCGTGTCTCCTACCTCCCCTCCATTCCCTGTAATAGAAGAGGTATTATACCTCCCCCCCCTGTAATAGAAGAGGTATTATTTCTCCGGTGTCCCGTGTCTCCTACCTCCCCTCCATTCCCTGTAATAGAGAGAGGTATTACACCCCCCTCTCTGTAATAGAAGTGTCCGGTGTCCCGTGTCTCCTACCTCCCCTCCATTCTCTGTAATAGAAGAGATATTATACCCCCCTCTCCGGTGTCCCGTGTCTCCTACCTCCCCTCCATTCCCTGTAATAGAGGTATTATACCCCCCTCTCCGGTGTCCCGTGTCTCCTACCTCCCCTCCATTCCCTGTAATAGAAGAGGTATTATACCCCCCCCCTCTCCGGTGTCCCGTGTCTCCTACCTCCCCTCCATTCCCTGTAATAGAAGAGGTATTATACCCCCCTCTCCGGTGTCCCGTGTCTCCTACCTCCCCTCCGTTCCCTGTAATAGAAGAGGTATTATACCCCCCTCTCCGGTGTCCCGTGTCTCCTACCTCCCCTCCATTCCCTGTAATAGAAGAGGTATTATACCCCCTTTCCGGTGTCCCGTGTCTCCTACCTCCCCTCCCATTCCCTGTAATAGAAGAGGTATTATACTCCCCTCTCCGGTGTCCCGTGTCTCCTACCTCCCCTCCCCATTCTCTGTAATAGAAGAGGTATTACACCCCCCTCTCCGGTGTCCCGTGTCTCCTACCTCCCCTCCATTCCCTGTAATAGAAGAGGTATTATATACCCCCCTCTCCTGTAATAGAAGAGGTATTATACCCCCCCTCTGTCCCGTGTCTCCTACCTCCCCTCCGTTCCCTGTAATAGAAGAGGTATTATACCCCCCTCTCCGGTGTCCCGTGTCTCCTACCTCCCCCCTCCGTTCCCTGTAATAGAAGAGGTATTATACCCCCCCTCTCCAGTGTCCCGTGTCTCCTACCTCCCCTCCGTTCCCTGTAATAGAAGAGGTATTATACCCCCCTCTCCGGTGTCCCGTGTCTCCTACCTCCCCTCCATTCCCTGTAATAGAAGAGGTATTATACCCCCTTCTCCGGTGTCCCGTGTCTCCTACCTCCCCTCCATTCCCTGTAATAGAAGAGGTATTATACCCCCCTCTCCGGTGTCCCGTGTCTCCTACCTCCCCTCCATTCCCTGTAATAGAAGAGGTATTATACCCCCCTCTCCGGTGTCCCGTGTCTCCTACCTCCCCTCCATTCCCTGTAAATAGAAGAGGTATTATACCCTCTTCTCCGGTGTCCCGTGTCTCCTACCTCCCTCCTCCAGTATTGGAGAAACACGTTGGGTGGAGTCTTCTGTGACGTCACCATGCTATGACACCGCGGGAATTTTGAATTTGTATATTGCCTTTATGCACCTTATCTATGTAAAAGTGAAATATTTTACTGAATACATTTTTTGAGTTTTCTCAGGTTGCACTATGAAGTCTCTTCTGTTTTAATCCTTCTCTACATTGTATGGAGAGGGGTTCGATGTGAGGAATTCGTCTGGATGAGCCCTCATCCGTCCATCCATCTCCCTTGATATTACTAGCACGGGTGTCAGTGTGGAATGTGGGCACCATCTGCTCGTTTGATCTCCTAATTGGAGAACAATGTGCCTGGTAAGAGGCTGATCTGTCACATCCAACAACGCTACCATCAAACCCGCCCCGCAGGCCAGAGTACTGGGTGTCATTCTGGACTCCAACCTATCCTTCCAGCCCCAAGTCCAATCTTTAACAAACTCATGCAGACTCCACCTCCACAACATGCAGACTCCGCCTCCGCAACATGCAGACTCCACCTCCGCAACATCGCCAAAATCCGCACGTTCCTAACCCCAGAAACCACTAAACAGCTCATCCACTCCCTCATCATATCACGACTGGACTACTGCAACTCCCTCCTCCTCACTGGCCTGCCTCGCCACAGGCTATCCCCGCTTCAGTCCATCCTGAATACGGCTGCCAGACTCATTCACCTTTCCAACCGCTCTGTCTCCGCCACCCCCCTCTGCCAATCCCTCCACTGACCTCCACCCCCCTCTGCCAATCCCTCCACTGGCCTCCATTCAGTGTCCTCCACCCCCCTCTGCCAATCCCTCCACTGGCTTCCGATTGCGCAACGGATCAAATTCAAAATCCTAACGCTGACGTACAAAGCTGTCCACCATACTGCCCCGAACTACATCACCGACCTAATATCCAAGTACCGCCCAACACGCACACTCCGCTCCTCACAAGACCTCCTTCTCTCTAGTTCCCTGGTCCCCTTCTCCCATGCCTGCCTCCAGGACTTCTCCAGGGTGTCACCCATCCTCTGGAACTCCCTGCCCCAACCCATCAGACTATCACCTACTCTCCTCTCCTTTAGGCGCACCCTGAAAACCCATCTCCTCAGGGAAGCCTACCCCACCCCCTGCTAACTTGCCGACCTCCTCCACTCTTCCTACCACTCCATCCCCCACAGCTATCTCCTCCTGTGCCACCATCCCCTCCCTCCTAGATTGTAAGCTGGAAAGAGCAGGGCCCTCGATCCGCTCATGTTTTGCATTGTATTGGTATTGTTCTGTCACATGTTCTGTCCCCCTCTGTAATGTACAGCGCTGAGCGAACTATTGGCGCTTTATAAATACTGTATAATAATAATAATAATAATAATCTGTCTGTTGTGGCGAGCTCTTGTGGACACCATAGCGCTCTGTTGAAGGATTTCTTTTCAGCACATAGCACTTTCACATTGGATTCGGGACTTTTTGCTAATTTATTATACCTTTGGACTTTTAGCCCTTTAGATGCATTTTTTTGCACATTTTGTATATGCACATATTCTTTTATGGTCTATTTGTGATATATTGTGTTTAGGTATTGTGTCAGATTGGTTTAGTGTGGACAGCACAGCGGCTAAATAGTTAGCACTTCCACCTGGCAGTACTGGGGTCGTTGGTTCAAATCCCAACCACGGCACCACCTGCCTGGAGTTTGCATGTTGTCCCTGTGCCTGTGTGGGTTTCCACAGGGTAATCCGGTTTCCTCCCACACTCCAAAGACATGCTGGTAGGTTAATTGGCTCCTGTCTAAATTATCCCTAGTATGTGATTTAGGGCCTTTAGATTGTACACCCCTTGAGGGTTAGGGACTGATGTGAATGTACAAATATATATGTAAAAGCGTGGCGTAAAATTGACGGCGCTATAAGTACCTGAAATAAATAAATAGTGTACAGCGCACTCATTTTTTTTTTGTTTTTTCATATTTCTGGTATTCAGGAAGAGAGCAGCGGCAGTTCACTTTATCTATTTGTTTATTTATTCATTCGTTGCTATTTTTTATTATATTTTTTATTATATTTTTTATTATATTCTGTCACTTTTATTATTTGTTGGGTGTAGCGCAGGTCTTCTCTTCTCACACATCTCCACCAATAGGAGCTCTGGTGGAGCCCAGCTGTGACTTGCCTCATGGACACCCATGTCACCTTCCAGGATGCGCTGTTTCAGCGAGAGGAATACGCACTGCGGAGCATTAATAATGAAACTTTAATGGATACATGTACTTGGATAGGATAGGATTCTCTCCATAGCAAGGCCATATGGCAGCGATTCCTTGCACTCCCCTGCGTGCCTGGTATGGAAAAAACAATAAAGATTCCCTTCAAGTTCTCAAACCTAATGAGGACTCAAGCTGCTGGTCCACCATCATGCAGGAAAAGCACCACCCAAGCAACAGGCATTAGATCAGCGTGCAAAAAGCTTGCACTGACCTCTGACTTTACGTTTCCGTTACCACAAGGTCCAGTAGGGGACTAGATAACAACACAGGGAAATCAGACACAATGTTCTCTTCCATTTCCCATCATATAAAATACATTTTTACAAACCCACATTCAGGGGCGGACTGACAACTCATGGGGCCCCCGGGCAATAGGGGATCATGGGGCCCCTGTGTTCTTGCCCAAACTAAAAAAAGCCTATGAAAAAGGTACCAGGGGCATCTCATGGGGCCCCCTACTGCACACACAGGAGCAGACACAGTTCTACATGGGCTTTGGACTTGGATATGAACTAAACAGTGCGGACCCTGAATAACCAGGTTGATCATAACAAGCCCCTTGGATATATTCCTAAATATGCAACCAAGCAAAGACTTCATATTTTTGCAGAATCCAGAAAACTTTAGGATCCGTATACAGCAGGCTCCCATTTTGGAAATACATACAGTATGTTGCACCAACCAGCCCAAACTACCAAAGTACCCAAAGTACCAACCAGCCCGAAATAAGTGCCTTTCAAGCAGCGTGCCTGGTGGTGTATGCTAGTCCCGGGAACCCCAGGGCACTGGACAAACTCGTGCCGCCGCTGTCCACAAAGTACAGCGTCTGCAATCCTTCTGAATCAAACCAGCAGAGCACCAGTGCCTTTCAAGCAGCGTGCCTGGTGGTGTATGTTTTTTAGTCCGACCCAGGGGCAGACTGACAACTCATGGGGCCCCGGGCAATAGAAGATCATGGGGCCCCTGTGTCCTTGCCCAAACTAAAAAAAGCCTATGAAAAAGGTACCAGGGGCATTCCATGGGTCTCCCTACTGACCCCAGGCCCTAGGGCAGTGCCCGAATTTCCAAATGGTCAGTCCGCCCCTGCCCACATTACATGTTTTCAGAGTTGGAAAGCGTAAATGTAATTTTCATTCTCTGACCCGTGCTGGGGTTTTGTGTGCGGCGGCTTGTCCTACGACGGGGAGGAGATAACATGACATTCCCCCGCAAGAGGGCTACCAAATAAAACGGTAAGTCGAGTCTAGAACAATGCGGGATGACATTTCGGCACACTGTCCCTTCCTGACGTTGCATCTCCTCTGGGCCGGGGCAGATTTTAAGAAGAGGCAAAGGTTGCCCCGGCTTGGGTTAATTCTTTTATTCTGTCTGCTCCGGCTGTGGACATCTCTGTCTACGAAGGGATAATAGCCATCATAAAAATATTATTAGAGGCAATTTAACTTACAGAAATATTGACAGAGCTCTTGGACTGGGAGGGAAACACAACCCACTTAGAAAAGGCGCACGACTGGGAAAATTATAGGCTGTTTAGTGGCAGAAATGAGGCTATCTATAATTCTCTGACATTTCTGGATTAAGCATTGCCTGCTGGCATTCTTTATTTAGCAAAAAGTCCAGGACCGACCCCAGAGGTATAGTTAATAGTGACAGGGGCGAAGTTCAGAATCTGGACTCGTGCCCTTCATATGTCACAAGACGACCTTCACAAATAAAGTACAGGTAAGGGGACTCCGGGCAATGCTCTGCGGGAAATGCCTGCAAATAACCTGCTGGGAAAAGTATGTAAATAAGGTCAGAATGGCAATCCAGAATTAAATTTTAATGTTCTGGGTTATGAATGAAGGGACTCGGCCCTAAGCACTGAAGCAGTGTCCCTGTTCTAAATTGAATGCTGCTGGCTGTAGTCAGCCTAAACCTGGATTGATAGTTCTGCTTTCCACAGGTCGTCCCCCTAAGATGAGGTTCTTGTCTACTTCTGCCTGCTGTTAGCTATAGAGTAAGAAGATCCAATGTTCTGTGTAACGGAACCGGACCACGACTGCACTGGGGTATTTCCGTGAGGTTCCCGCTTCCCTGTCCGAACACCGACCACGGACACCACGCATGAACGAAACCAGGAAATAGACTGATTTATTATAACACAGACACAAGATATAAACATTCAAGGGAACAATTCTCCCCTCCCTGCATATGGACACAGGGCGGGGCAAACCAAATCTAGCAACAAGAAACACATCAGCAGACACCCCCCACCAAGCCAATACACAAACACATACAGTGGGGCAAAAAAGTATTTAGTCAGCCCCCAATTGTACAAGTTCCTCCCACTTACAAAGATGAGAGAGGCCTGTAATTGGCATCATAGGGAGACCTCAACTATGAGAGACAAAATGAGAAAACAAATCCAGACAATCACATTGGCTGATCTGGAAATAATTTATTTGCAAATTTTGGTGGAAAATAAGTATTTGGTGAATATGAAAAGTTCATGTCAATAGTTTGTTATATATCCTTTGTTGGCAATGACAGAGGTCAGACGTTTCCTGGAAGTCCTCACAAGGTTGGCACACACTGTTGCTGGTATGTTGGCCCATTCCTCCATGCAGATCTCCTCCTCCATGCAGATCTCCTCTAGAGCAGTGATGTTTTGGGGCTGTCGCTGGGCAACACGGACTTTCAACTCCCTCCAAAGGTTTTCTATGGGGATGAGATCTGGAGACTGGCTAGGCCACTCCAGGACCTTGAAATGCTTCTTACGAAGCCACTCCTTCGTTGCCCGGGCGGTATGTTTGGGATCATTGTCATGTTGGAAGACCCAGCCACGTTTCATCTTCAATGCCCTTGCTGATGGAAAGAGGTTTGCACCCAAAATCTCACGATACATGGCCCCATTCATTCTGTCCTGTACATGGATCAGTCGTCCTGGTCCCTTTGCAGAGAAACAGCCCCAAAGCATGATGTTGCCACCCCCATGCTTCACAGTAGGTATGGTGTTCTTTGGTTGCAACTCAGCATTCTCTCTCCTCCAAACACGACGAGTTGTGTTTCTACCAAACAGTTCTATTTTGGTTTCATCTGACCATAGGACATTCTCCCAATCCTCTTCTGGATCATCCAAATGCTCTCTAGCAAACTTCAGACGGGCCCCGGACATGTACTGGCTTAAGCAGGGGGACACGTCTGGCACTGCAGGATCTGAGTCCCTGGCGGCGTAGTGTGTTACTGATGGTAGCCTTTGTTACGTTGGTCCCAGCTCTCTGCAGGTCATTCACTAGGTCCCCCCGTGTGGTCCTGGGATTTCTTGCTCACCGTTCTTGTGATCATTTTGACCCCACGGGGTGAGATCTTGCGTGGAGCCCCAGATGGAGGGAGATTATCAGTGGTCTTGTATGTCTTCCATTTTCTAATTATTGCTCCCACAGTTGATTTGTTCACACCAAGCTGCTTGCCTATTGCAGATTCAGTCTTCCCAGCCTGGTGC